AATTCATTATTATTATTGAGTGCGGAGGCGCGCAGGTGTGATAGCAGGATCTTTTGCCACATTAACGACAGGAGGGTCCTCGTGTTCCAGGTTCGAGCGAACAACTGGCGTTTCATTATCCGATGTGATAGTAAGCGGAGTCAACCGCACTGGGAAAAATCGACCTCTCGTTCCGGATGCGAACAGAGAAAGGACCCCGTAAGCGATGGTGCAACCAGTCTAGACAGTGCCTTCGAGCCAGCTCTGACCCAACACGAGCAAGTCTTCCGCCGCCGGCTACGAACCCCCCAAAGAGGCGTTTTTTATTTACGTTTTTATGCTCTTTGTAAGACGCCTTCACTCCACTATTCCCCGTTCCACCCCATGAGGGAACACAACGGACGCTACGAGCCTTCCCAGCCAATCCGAAGCCGTAAAACTTACCACGTGACCAAGCGATAGGGCGCGTATAGTTGCGGCCTATTGCAGGTCATGTGACCCTCAAGCGGTGCTGGATTGGATTGGATTGTTCGTAGTGTCACGTGCGGTCCACCGTAAAGCGAACCGTCAGGCAAAAGGTCATCCTGTCTTTCTCGGGCACTCTCGAAAGGGCTTTCGCCATCTCTGGGTCGAAATAATAAGCGGGACAAAAAGGGCCACGGCCATTGTAGTCTTTCATGCGCCGGCAATTGATCTTTTATCCCTTTCTCCTCGATTCACGTCGCGCTAACTTTGTCAAATATTTCGCAACAACAATTTTTTTTTTGAGGCATAGAAGAGACCAGTAATGTGAACTTTTTACATCGCCTGCCAGGTAGTGTTCACTTCTTCTTTTTCTTTTTTTGAGACACTCGTGTTCTTCTTTTTCCGCGCGCGTTTACGACGTTTATATGTTTTCTTTTTTTAGACACGGCTTCAAATTGCTTTCAACCGTCACATCTATGCATCTTGAGACGCAGTCAGACGCCAGAATGCAAGTAGCGACGATAAGCATCAGTAAAAAGGCTACGCTTCACAGCAACGAGCCTTCAACCATTGGAGTGGATTATAGGATGCATTGGATTTAATGGCGATTCCTCTGTGACAAGGGACCCCTTGCCTTAAGTTCCGGTGAGGGCATGGAGGTACGAATACGGGGAGGCGAGACACCGGCTCAAACCGGCCAAACGCGAAAATCCCGAGTGAAACCGGAAGTAGATGTCACTGTCGGTGGGAACGCCAACTTCCGGTTTGGAGTGTTCCTCCAAACCGGAAGTCTCCCCCGGCTTCACTTCCGGTGGCGTCATGTCGCCTTCAGAGGCTTCTTACCTCCATGGGTGAGGGTCTGCCAAAAGCTAACTCGGCTGGGCCCGCCAAGTGCCCAGCCAAGACTAGCCAAGTCATTCGCCCCTGTTTTGCTGCTTGAAATTATTGCTGCCAGTTGTCGAAAGATTTCCCTAAAATCGCGGGAAACGCAATTTTCCATCCTCCAGAAACGTTAAAACAGTCCAGAACGATAACGCCCGAAACTGCTGACACCACATTCGAATCCGCGTTTTCGAATCCTAACGATCGCCACTTCGCCCGCTCCGCGCTAAGCACCAAAAAGTGGCGACGCCCTCCAGAAAACCGGGAAGTTCAGTGTCGATACTCTAAGCCCATATATATTATTTAGTGGCTATAGTGTAAATATTGCGCGAGTGCTATGCGCTTGCTTGGTTTATATGTATATGTATCTTTGTCGCAGGTTCGTCCGCTAGCAATGGCGCCGCCTTTCCTCGACGTCGTCTGCTCGCCGCAGAAGACGACGCGGACGGTGTTTCAGGGGCGACAGAGAAATCTCCAGACGAAGACGTCAACCCGCCCGCGGGTACTAGCGAAGATTCAAAGAAAAAACAATCAAAGGCGAAAGATGGCACCGAAGAAAAGCCAAAGTCCAGGGGGAGCGAATCAAAAGCGAAACAAGAAAGCGGCCAAGACAAATCCAAATCTAAAGCGGAGGTAGAGGGCGAGTCGATAGCCGAGCCAAGTGCGGGAGACAAATCCAACGCGGGGGGGTAAATTAGAAGCCAAACCGAGCGGAAAAGATGACGCGAAATCCGTCCCGACAGACGCTAAACCACCGGCACTCAAGCCAAAAGAAAAGCAAGAGGAAGTCGTCGACAAAAACAAACAGAAGGAGCAGGAGAAACCAGCCGGAAAACCTGAAACGACGGCGAAGGCAGAATCTCAGCCGATGCCCGAATCAGGAGCAAAAGAGGGCACTCAATCAAGACCCGAGTCAAAACCTGAAGGAAAGACAAAACAGGAACAAAATCCCGAGGTGAAGCCGCACGAGCCTGAGCCAAAACTAGAACCACAGCCCGAACCAAAACTGAGCCCTACTTCAGAAACTGGGCCGCAGTCGGAATCAAAACCAGAAACGAAACTAGAACCAGAACCCGAAGCGAAACCAGACTTGAAGCCAAAAGTGAAGCCAGAGCCCAAGCAAGAAACAAAATCAAATGAAACCGAAAGGGTCAAGACGAAACCGAAACCAGAAGATGGAACGACGAACGATACCGTCTCGAGACCAGAAGAAACGGCAGTCACTACTGGTACAAAAGGCACAGGGGAAAATATTACGTCACCTGCAGAGGTGGACTGCATCATTCCAGGTGAGTAGTTTAAACTGACGTCCACGGTAAATGGGAACATTTGGAGGTCATGCTGACGTGCATCGTTTGAAAGCTGTTCGAAGTATAATCACAACACTCAATGATCAAGTGGTTTTAGGTTTCGCGGCCTATAATATGTGCTCTATTAGTCAGAATCCGCTAAAACAAGACGCGAAACAATCCTTTAATGTCATGCTTTTTTTTATATAAACATCCGCAGTTAATAGACCTCT